AAAGATTAAAATAGCAATTATACATAATTTGTTGCAAAATGATGTATATGTGAGGTGGATTTTTGTTTCCGCTCCAGAAACATCACTGACCAAAATACCATGACTTCACCTTCCAATGAGACCTGTGAGGTTAAGGATATTTCAGCCAAACCTTTCTTTATACTGGTCCACAGTTTGGTCTTCCTGGTAAGTTTCAAATCATCAAATTGTGCTCTGTCAGAAATAGGTTTGAGGTTCCCAGTGCATGTACCAAAGTCCTGTTCTCTCCATCCTTTCTGTGTTTCTTTAGGTAGGTTTACCTCTCAATGGCTTCATCATGAAGTTCTACTGTTGTCGAGGTCGAAAGCAGGCGTCCAGCAGCTTGAAAGTCTTCCTGAAGAACCTGACAGCTGCTGACTTCCTATTCTGCCTCTGTCTGCCACTCCGCATCACTTACTATGCCAGAAGCTCTGGAATAATCCCGAGTCTCTACTGCAGCTTTGGAGCTTCTGCCTTTTTCCTCAACATGTATGCCAGCATCATATTTATGGGGTACATCGCTGCCAACAGGTAAAAAAAAAAAAACCTTTATAGTGTTGTTAAGTACGACACTGGGTGTTACATCAGTAAATCCTGCACTCCTAATTAAAGCATGAATGCATTTTTTAACTTAATGATTTTGGCAGCACTGTGGCTGATTAGTGAATTTGTCTATTGCCTGCTTTTGCTTCTCTCTTCAGGTATCTGAAGATCGTCCATCCTTCAGGAACTCGCGTCCTGCAGACAGTACGAACTGCCCACATCATCTCTGCGGTCACCTGGGTTTTTCTTCTGGCTACAGCAATTTCTTACAGCAATCTGTATTTGATGACTCAGGAATCTCTGACATCTAACTCCAGCCGCTGTGATCCCCTCTTTAGTGAATCAGTCACGTTGTTCTTTAAAATCATCCAGGTTCTGTCTGCCATCATCTTCCTCTTAGTCTTCATATCCCTGGTCTTCTTCTACTACAGCACCTCCCGCAGGGTGTTGCAGGCACAGCAGAGGCAGCTGGCCTCCTCTGAGAAGCTCTTGAAGTCTCGCAGGAACATGTTGCTGCTTGTCAGCATCTTCTGTGTTTGCTTTGTCCCCTATCACCTGGTTCGACTTCCCTTTACTTTTCTGTCGGGAAACTGCACAGTAGGTCCAGTGTTGTACTACCTGAAGGAGGTGTCCACCATGGTCTCAGTTTTCAACATCTGCCTGGACCCTGTTGTTTACTTTTACCTCTGTAAGGCTTTTCGGGCCAGGGTGAGAAAGTTGTCCAGGAGAGCCAACATTCAACAAGTGAGTGA